AATCTTATCAGATGGTCCTTTGTAAAGCAGGGGGCAGTGGGAGAAATCATGGGGCAACATAGGGAACCCATCTGGCTGTTTTCTCTACTGTCAGAGTCCATACTCTGCCTTCCCACAATGTTTCACCACTGTCCTCCCCTTCTTTTTCAGCTCAAGTGCTTTTTTTGGATGAGAAGTCGGATACACCCAACTCATCTGGACTCTACTGCAGGCACAGAGCCCCAGTGGAAGTAGCTCTGCATCATGTGATGGGCTCCAGGGGACTCTCACAGCCAGGCATGTAGCCGGGGGGGGGGGGGCCCTTGGGGGGCTTCAGCCCCCCCCCCCAATTCTCATGGTGGTCCATGAGAAGGCCTTACTGGTACATTATTTAAACTGTTATGTTTATTCATATGATCTGATCACCATGCTCAATATATCCCATATGCATGGGGGTATTGGGGTAACAATACAAAAGTTTTGCTAAGGTAGACCCTCTTTCACTCAGACTCAGCTCCCCCCCCCCCCCCCCCCCCCCCCGAAACAAAATCCTGGCTACAGGCCTGCTCAAAGCAATACAAAAAAGTGGGGAGAAGACATTTTTCTGCCTTCATCTGATGAGGTTGTAACTCTGCAATGAATACACAGTTCAAGAGGCAAGAACAGGAGTAACTATTTTAGATCTGACACTAAACAACAATGATGGCCTGGCAAATGCGTTTGTGCATGTATACCATCAGAAAACACTGTAGGTCCTGGAGCATTTTCTCCAATTGCATCAATCAAGCCTTAAAAGCTAAGAATAAACATGATGTTATGGCTCATTCATGAATTCAAGAATTGGTCATTCAGGGATGGCTGGATATGAGATTGCCCTTCCCTCTCCAATTTACCACTTGTGGACATTTCTCTGAACTGCCTTCTCTTTGAGGAAGAGAAGTTATATCCCAGCACTATCTTGTATATAGAACAAGGTATGAGAGAAAGCTGCCTTATTCCATATTTGTTTAGCAAGGCCAGTGCTCTCTATTTTGACCAGTGTCCCCTGCATCAGTCAGCATTTGTCCCAGGAATCAGATAGTTAGAATGCAAATAGTTAATTCAGTCCAAGTCAGTCACAAGCTATCCAACAAGACATATGACAAAACAAGTGAGGCTTCCCCATCATCCTGCTGCCAAAACCTTTTTTAAAAAGAGATATCAGAGGCTGTACCTGCTGAGCCAACCATTTGGTCCTCTTAGCTCTATTAAACTTAATAGCAGCTGTTGCAGTGAATTCTGTGAGCTGTGATTCTTCTTTCTTTAAGGTATCATTTAACTAATTCTCACTTGTTAAAAAAAAGCATCCTCTACCCCTCGCCCTCTGTAATCAATAGATCCTCAGCAGTTTACGTCAAATATGCCTTCTTGCAAAGCACAGGTTCTGCTCTGAAATCAGTTGCACACAGGCTAGGGAAATAGCATATGCATAGTCAATTTGTCCTGTGACATGTAATTGATACAAATATGATTGATCTAACTATTTTATTTTTATTTTAAAAACTGTCCCTCATGCTGCTGGCAGATGCATTTCCTGGCAAAAAGAAAGGGGAAGACAGGAAAGTTTTCTGCTTCCAAAGAATGACCTTTCCTGATAATTAATTTGCTGTTTTCAACACCATCTGCTTTCTCACAGCCACATCCATCATAGCTGTAAAAGATTAAAACTTAATTAAAATGAAAACTGGTGTCACAGATTCAGGGAGGGGGAGCATGCAGTTCCAAGGAGCAACACTATTTGACCCCTCCTGGAGGTTTACAGCTGTGCCCACTTCACGGGATTTATGATAAACTGTAATAAATACAAAGAGCTCTGGGGAGTGCCTTCACTACCAGCACATTTTGAGGGAGTATTATGATGAAATGAAACATTATTGACTGGGATGATAGCTGGGAGCTGGCCATAAAACCTAGGTGAAATTCCACATTTGGGCTTGTTTGTGTTGAGTAGCCTGTCAGTCAAAACTGGGGTGGGGAGGGGAGGGGAGGGGAGGGGAGGGGAGGGGAGGGGAGGGGGCAGAGAAACTCATCTTAATTAGAGGTGAGATGATTGGGGTTTTTTTCCCATTATTTTCCTAATATTTTTATTTTTTTTCTTTCAACTACTAGAAAAAAAAGAAGACGCTTTGCAGAATCATCCCCAAATATTTCCCTCCATCCACCCTACACCCCCAATACTGACTCGAAATAACATTAAGACCAAAGTATTATGGAATTTTCAACATGAAAATTGTAACCAGACTCTCAAATGGTGTTGTAAACCATTCACAAACTGTGTGTGCTACAGCTTCTGCTAATGATGCACTCAGCTCCCAAGAAACTATTAGACAATGTCTTTTCCTCCTGAAGATATGGTCTGCCCAATTTCTTTGTCCACAAAGAATTTCAAAGAGACATTTCTATAACAGCTCTTTTAAGTGGCTTGTGTCTTGGCCACCCTTGCAGAGAGAGAAAAAAGAAAATGTTAATTAGCCACACCATTCAGTAGGAATGTTTTTGGACTTCTTTCTGTTCCTCTTCTTATAGTTTATAATAGATTGTTTCACCTCACTCTTTAATCAAGCATGCTCCTAGTGCAGCCTATATCAAACCCAATAATCACAATCACAGAAAAATACATTCACAAATAAGCACTTAATAAAAGCCATTACAATAAATACATGTTTCCCTTATAATCCTAACTTCCAATCATATGGTCATTTCCACAAAGAAGGTAAATCGCAGTTTCAAAATCCTGTGTGTCAAAGTATTCTCTGTGAAGTGTTGGTTTAATGAAAGTATGTAAAGAACATGTTGAGGAAAGTACATTTGTATAAGCAATTTTGCCATACAGATATAAAAACATTATATACATAGAAAAACATTCAAAAAATAGAATTTATGTTTATATATAACACACTATGATCCTCTTATAGATGTGGCTTACATTCCAAGACCCTTTTTGGATGCCTAAAGCCAGGATTAATAATGAGAACCTTATAATGCACCCAAAACATACCATAGAATTATATTGGAGGAACTAAATGGTCCTGTAGACACTTCCAATAGGGTGGAGACTATTTTTTTTTTTTTGGGGGGGGGGGGGGGGGGGGGGACATGGGTAAGTGAAATCATGACAATTACATCTGGGGATAATAGGGTTCCACTGTACATTGCTTTAAAAACTAATCTAATGGTATCTTTTGAATCAAATGTGTTGTTTTGGCATATTCTACCCTATCATGTCAGTAATTCCAGTTCTTATTTATGATAGTAGAAAAGATTCAGCTTTCAGAATCTTAGTGTTTACGTAATTAAAGTACGACACCTTAATTTTCTCTAATGCTCTAAAATATGCATGAATGATAGGATATGCTTAAAAGCTATAATTTTCCGCAATTCATGCAAACTGATAAACATTGAAAGACTTGCTATAAAACAAACAAACTACCTGTTGATATAGAATTCTGCAGAGTAATTATATGTAAGGATGTAGCAATTTACGGTATGCAAGAACCTGGGAGCAAGTCTAGATACTGATTGAAGACTTTATTCTTGAGCATAACAAATGTTTTGAAAATTTGGGAAGCTAAATGAAATTTACAGGATTGCCATAAGTCAACAGGCAACTTGGACACATGTACAGTCCAAAAAAGTAACTTTTCCAGTTTCTGCCTTATACAGGGTAAACCACATTTTCACACCAAGACTAAAGCATCAAACTATAACTTAGTAAATGTTGACATTCCGGGGGGGGGGGGGGAAATCCCATCACCAAGAGCACTTTTAAGTTTCCAATTTCAAATTTCAGTATTTGAAATTTTTATTTTATCTATTTCTAAACTGGATTCTAGATTTTTTTTAAGACAGCTCTTAGAAGTTTTTAAAGAGTATTTCAATGTGTTTAAAATATTTTTATCTTTGTGTGTGTGTAATATATATGTGTATATGTATAGAATTGTATAGCACTTTGGGAGCCCTTGTAGGCTGGAAGATGATGTAAAAATACTCCAAATAAATAAATACCCTTTTCCATCAGAATATGCATTATCACAGTTTTGGGTTGAATCCAATGATACATCTACCTAGAATGAATCCACTGAAATCATTGAGACTTATGTAAGTTACGACTAACAGGTCCCATTCATTTCAACAGATCTACTTAAAGTGTAACTAATATTTGATCCAGCCTTTTTATTCCTAAGAAGGTTATGACTATCTAGAATTCTAGAAGCCACCCACAACAAAGCACCAAATAGCAACAAGAGGCACAGCACAAGTCAATAGTTAAAAATGTGATACTGCTTCTCTACTTTTTAGTGAAACTGCACAACCATAGCTATAACAATTATGACCCTGAACTGAAATTATGCCTTATCAAGTTATAGTCCTAATATAATTTAATTGTACCTTCATTTTTGGAAGAAGAACTAATTGCAAGCAACTATTTATTTTGAATTGGTTGTTTGTAGCTTGTAAAAAAATAACACCATAGCACCTTTGAACATGCTCAACCTTGTCTGCTTTTGGTTCTGTTTAGTACTTAGAGTCCCACTGTCTGTCAGACTTCATGGTGCTGCAACTAAATGAATCAACTGAGGCTGCCAAAGGCATATGATGTATGGCTTTCCAGGTGTTCTTGGGTTGCAAATTCTGCCATCCCTAGTCAAATACAATCCAACAATATATAAATAGTCACATGATCCCCATCTTTGGTACAGAGTGAGTTAATCAATGACTTCAGGCAACTTTTTGTTCCATGGAAATGAAAACACAGTTCAGAATTTCTAATTACAGGAACTAATGAAACAGTCATCCTTGGAAACACATAACTCTTACAAATGCTGATTTTTAAAAGAGTGGTATAAACAACAAAGCCATTCTTAGATTCCTATGAATCCAATCATCCTAGGCTCTTCAAGGGTCTTAAATGATGATGGGGCATTGGTGCCATTTAAGCCTGCAGGTGGTTATATAAAGACCACTGTGACCAGGAACAAGACACCACAGAAGGTGATAGGAATCTCCACAGTCTCAATCTACAAACAAGGAGACAGCAGATTTGCTAGGTAAGAATTCTGTGTGTTTGCTTTTATGCAATCTAGATCCGCATTGGGTGGGACAGGATGGGGGATGAGTGGAGAGGGAGAGTTTAGACATCTCAGATGGACTTTTTCCTCATGCATATAGTTCTTGCTTGCTTGCTGTACAAAACACTTCTCTGTATAGCAAAGGGCTAGTGAATCAGAATAGCACTCTGGCTTCTTTCCTAGTCTCTAATAAAACTTTGCATCGCGTTACCTTCTCACAGGAGTGTACAATACAACTCCCATATCTGTGTGGGAAATGTTCCTGACTTCACATGGAAACTTGAAACCATAGATAATAGAAAAGAAGAATCTCTGACCCCAGAATAACAAAGATTTGTGTTGGAGAAACTAGAGCATGAATACAGAGGGCACATTTTGGCAGATGTGGCTAAATGAACTACAGATATCAGTCCTGCAGATATGGGGGTTGTACTGTAATGGTGCTCCATGCAGTAATGCCGGCCACATGACCTTGGAGGTGTCTATGGACAACGCTGGCTCTTCGGCTTAGAAATGGAGATGAGCACCACACCCCAGAGTCAGACATGGCTGGACTTAATGTCAGGGGACTACCTTTACCTTTTTACTGTAATGGGTTTGGATACCCGAAAGAAGGAAGGCACATATGACTGCTTTTTAAAATTATTAATCAGCCAAACTTTGCTTATGAAGTAGCAAAAACCTAAGATTCATGAGTTAAAAACCAGGTGTAGCTAGGAAATTCATTATTTTGTGGAAGCAAATGCAAAGATCTTCTATGTGAGCTTGCTGAAAGGGAGAGATTATCAATATGATAATATTAAAACAACAACCAGGACTTTGCAGCCAGACATAGCCTCATCCCATATTTATCCTACCACAGTCTCAGCTCACTTTATTATATCTGATAGAGCAAGGATGGGCAAATAGTAACCTTCATGTATTTTTGGACTACATATTCAGTCAGCTGTAACCAGAATAGCCTATGGTAAAGAAATCAGGGAGTTATGGACCAACAGTATTAGAAACACACACTGTTCACCCATTATCAATCTTTCTCTGCAAAAATTGCTGCCACAATTAACCAGTGTCTATAAGATACATATTTTTTTCTGATACACATTCATGTCTTTTAGAATTGTATTTCTTGGGTTTACAGCATACTTCATTTTCTAAAGGGTGTGTTTTGAGCAACTTATACATTCACAATAACAATACGAGCCATTAAAACAATCATAGCATTGTAATAAAATAACAGTTAAGCAGAGGATGGATAGCCACCTATCAATGGTGCCATGGCCTAAATTTTGCTAATTTATTCTTTATTTAAAATATTCATAAAACAGTTTTCTGCCCCCCCAGGGCTCCCAAAACAATGTACAATCAAAGCACAATAAAAAAATAGAAAAGGAACTTTATTCAAAAGCTGACAAAAATATTTCTAAAAGTGAACAGCATTGCAATTTTTTTTCTGTTGCTTGCCGGAAGCTCAGCATGAATTGAGCCACTTTCCTTGAGACGCAGTTCTGCAAATGAACTGCTGTTGCTTTATATTCTTTCCACCTAATTTTTTTGTGGTGGTTGGACACGCAATAGGATCTACACTAAAGATGTCAAATTCCAGTCAGGCTCATAAGGAGGAAAGAGTCTTTCAGATAAGATGGTGTCAAGCTGTGTGATAGGAAGCTAAAATGCTTAAACCAATAGCGTCAATGCCATTAACTATGAGGTTTTATCTACATGACATTGTTATATTAGTTTGCAAGCACCTTGATTCTCATGGTTCCATCCCATGGCATCTTATGATTAGCAGTTTGATGCAGTACTAAGAATTCTCTGCTAAAGAACCCTTGATTATAACTTAAGGAACACACCAATCCTTTCTAACAAAAATTCTAAATTCCCAACCAAACTATGAATTCCAAGAATCCATTGCATGGGTTCATGGCAGTGAAAATGGTATCAAGCATACTGCAATATGTAATCAGGAGTGAAGTTATAGAGGAGGGGAAGACAAAATGAAGGCACTTTCCCTCCCAAATAAGAATTCCGCACCTTCGAAATGACATCCTCTTTCATCCCCTAGCATTGTAGTAACTTAAACTTTCACTTGAGCATCTAGAATTAACACTTCAGCATAAAAAACAAGGAAGAAGGCAACCATACAAAGGGAATACATATATGACATAGAGTTCCATGTGTGAACAATTTTCAGTGTTACTCTCTCCAATATGACAATTTTAGAGTCTATATTGGGAGATGGGGATTTTTTTATTTTGAAGGAGCCATGCCCTCATTTTGCCTCTCCTGTAAGTCCACACCTATGTGTAGTAAAGATATAGTTACGGCATTGATAAATAAATAAAACATTGTCCTGGACAACTCTATTGGGAGACAGAGAGAAAACAGTTGTTCATTTCATATCTGCACGGTTGCTTTCAGAAAGTAATGCTGTAGGATTCCACATGACTCCATGGCACTTTGTGTTGTGGTTGGGTTCTGTATCTATGTTGCAATGAAAAAACTTTTTCAGCCAAGAAGCCACACTGTGATGTGATAAATTTTCAAGGGACCAATGTTCCTACAGGAGAAAGCAAGGAGTGAAAACAGCAATTTAAAGACACTCCAGGGACCTTGAAATGGTGGCTGGAAACCTAACCGGAGATGCTCCCATTCTTGCTTCTGGAATCAGAGGAAAGCTTCTACTATTACCAAAATCCAGAGATGGCAGAGGGATTTAATTCCAATCAGGATTGTGATAATGGCAAAGCTGTCTCCCCACTAGATTGTGGTACCAATTTCTCCCTCCCCATGCTGTAATCAGATATTTGTGAAAGAAAAATCGATGACACAAAGACAATGTTGATCCAGGAAAGTGACTTAGAGACATTTAAATACACAAGGAGCAAACCTAACTGTGTGAAAACATTATGGTCCCGAATTCTAATACTGCTGCGGGTTGGGAAAACAAAAAAGAAAATGCTCCCTATGCTTCTTTACTGGCTCCACATTTCCCATTCCCATTCATTTTGTACTGACATGCATGAAGACAAGCAAGGTCAGGGAAAGAGCATCAGACCCCCAAGATGTCCAATTTTGACTTATACTTTTTTTTCCCTGATATGTTACCGGTGAAGCTAATTCACAACCAGCAAACACACTCTTTGCCAAGGGAGGCACCAGGCTGGAGTATTAATGTATGAAAGACGTGCCCTGCTTGTAAAATGAGGAAGGGGCATTCAGTGCTCTTATGAATCAAACAAAAGAGAAAAATAGGGGCTTTTCCCTGGTAGCAGAGAAAAATCAAGGTGAGTGAAAACAAAAGGGATAGATGTACTGGGTTTGAAGTGCTGCAATGTTGTGCAAAAATTATAAATAAATATTTTATAAGTGCAGTTGTGTGTGGTAGTACACATACACCAGAGAGATAAACATAGAGCGGAAGAGAGAAGCAGATTGTGTTACATAGATCTGATATCACCCTTCAATCATGAAAAAGCAACAAAACCATACCTGATGGTACAATAGGCTCAAAGCAGAATCCATTAATTCACCCTTGGGCTCTGGTCTTTTGCAACAATTTCCTGGTCTGACAGCTGGTCAAAAAATGTTTGGGATGTTTGGGTTTTTCTTTAACCTAATGCAAAATGTCTCTGTTCCTATTCAAGAACTTTTATTTGAATCTTTTAGAAACTGTAGGCTTTCAGGTTTCTAATGTGCAGAGAGCTCTGGGTCCATGGAAATAAAGCACAGACAAATGTGTAAGATAATGGAAATGGAGTGCCACAAAATTTGGTTCAAAAATAGCCAGAATAATAGTTCTGAATTGTCAAGCTCTTTAGAAAAATGAAAACACAGCAGCAGAACAGCAAACCAAAATGGGTTTATTTAAGGGCACAATTTGAAACAAATTAAGGTTGTTCAAAATGTTCCAGCGAAGGATGGAAGCACTAATGTAAGGAGAAGGTAATGGGGGTGGTAAGTGATTTACTAATAAAGAGCAAATGCAAAGTGAATTTCAGTAGTGATTTACTACAATCTGCTGTTTTCCAGTGGAAAATGTGATTCAAGGATGCCTTAATTGACAGTAACAAACCATTATGATCTGATTGAAGAAACGGCTGCTTTTCCTCCACTAATTATATAGAGAGTGCAGGTGCAACAAAATTCTTAGCAGCCCCAAAAGGAAAGTGGAGCCAGTTACTAGAAATAGCAACTTGATCCCATGTCTCTCCAGTCCTTCCCAATTTATCTCTACTGTCCTAGGGTGTATCTACACTGTCGAAAAGTGGTTCTTGACCTGTGGGTCCCCAGATGTTTTGGCCTTCCACTCCCAGAAATCCTAACAGCTGGTAAATTGGCTGGGATTTCTGGGAGTTATAGGCCAAAACACCTCAGGACTCACAGGTTGAGAACCACTGCTGTAGAATTACTCCACCATTTTAACCACTATGGCTTAATGCTATGAAGTCCTAGGATTCATAGTTTGGGGAGGCATTACCATCCTTTGGCAGAAAAGGCTACAGGCCTTATAAAACCACAATTCTCATGATTCCATAGCACTGAGTGATGGCAACTAAAGTTGTGTCAAACTGCATTAATTCCACAGTGTAGATGTACCCTGAGTTCCTTCTGTCCATTTCCTTTTATGTAGCAGCTCTCAAGCAAACCCAAATATGTCTACTCTCACATGAAATGTGTTGTTAATTTTTATCATGTTGGCTTCAGTTTATAGCAACCTGAACCACCCAAGACACTCTCTTATCATCAGCCTGCTCCAGTCCTGCAGAGCCAGCACCATGGCTTTCTAATTGAGTCTATCCACCTACTGCCTCGTACTTTGCCAAGCATGACTGTACTTTGTAAAGGGTTATATCATTCCATGATGTGGCCAAAGTATGACAGCATCAGCATCTTGGCATATACAGAGAGCTTATGTTTCATTTGCTCTAGGACCCATTTATTGTTCTTTTTGGTTGTCCATGGAGCTCTAATCCAGC